GCTCAGCACCCCTAGCAGGACGAGAGTCGACAGCTACCTCGACAGGCTCAACCGGGTCTACCTGGGACACACCTGAGGGAGCGGCACCCTGAGGGGGGAGGGGGTCTACCACAGCAGCACCTGGAGCGAGGAAGAGAGGTGGGGGGGGGAGCGGGGCAGTGCGGTAGGGGAAGAGGCGGTAGTAGGGGACGGACTCGTCAAAAGTGACGTCCTGAGAAGGCAGAACCCGGCGCGAGGTGACGTGGTAAAACTGCCAACCAGGCGCGTCCAGGACAAAGCCAAGGAAGACACAAGGAACAGCGCGAGAGGAGAGCTTGTCCGCGGACGTATCGCGAACAAAAGCTCGGGATCCCCAGACCCGAAAACGCGACGCATCGCCAACCTCTCCCGTCCAACGCAGTGTCGGGGAAGTCTCCGGTAAGGAGACACGGGGCCAGAGGTTGAGCTGATGCGCAGCGTATCGGACAGCAAACGGCCACAGAAAGTGGGGGGCAGCCGCATGGATCAAGGAGGTACGAGCGACCTCCATGACCAAGCCAATGCGGCGCTCAGCAACCCCATTATGCTGTGGAGAGGCCGGAAGCGTGAACGACTGCTCAATGCCGTGCTCCGCACAGTAGGCTGCCAGGAGGTCGGAGGAGAACTCACCACCTCTGTCAGAGTGCAAGCGCAGGACAGGAAAGTCCGAGCGGAAACGCTCGCTGAGCTGGAGACGAGCTCTGCGGATCCAAGGGATCAAGACATCAGGGACCTCACCCTTGGTGCGCAAGGGGAAGACCGTGGTGTAGCGCGAGTAGTCGTCAACAACAATCAGGAAGTACCTCTCCTGACCCTGTCCACGGACGCGGGCTGGGCCCCACACGTCCAGGTGGAGCGTCTGCAAGGGAGCAGTCATCGGGGGAAAGGAGGAGGAGTGAGGAGCGGCGCGCTGCCGCCCCTCGACACAGGGAAGACAGGGAGGAGCAGGCGAGGGTGGGAGGGGAGGGAGAACCCTGGGAGAGACAAGGTGCCGTTTGTGCATGGCACGAAGGCGCTGCACAGACGGGTGACCAAGTCGGTGGTGCCAGAGGACGGTCTCGTGCGCCAGAGAGCGACACGAGCAGGGGGCCGACAGCTGACCTGACGCAGACGCGGACGCAGCTACCTGAGGGGACTCAGTGGTCAGTGTGTACAGGTCCGACCCCGGCTGCCGAGTGAAGGTAGCCAGGTGACGGCCCGTCCGAGCACACGTGCAGTGTGTCACGCGCTCGTAGGCAGGGGTGAACTGGTGAACACCCGCATCCTGGAGCGCACAACCCGCCACCAAGTTCGTAGAGAACGAGGGGAGGTGGAGACCTGACAGTGTGCCCGACGGGACCGCAGGACAAGGAAGAACAGTGGAGGAGGTCGCAATGACCGGACCCCCAGAGGGGTCAGCGAGGGAGACAGCAACTGGCCGAGCAAGCGGCTCAAGGGCAGTGCGGTCACGAAAGAAACAGCGAGAAGCACCTGAGTCCAGGGTGAAGGTGTGCAGTGCCTCAGTCGACTCAGTACCAGGGGGGACAGACTCACTAGCACCTAGAGCGGCAGCCTCACCATCACCTGAGGTAGCAGACACGCGAGTACCTGCAGTGGCAGTCTCACTAGCACCTAGAGCGGCAGCCTCACTGGTCAGAATGCCCGGGTCGGGCGGAACACGCAAGTACTGAGCACCCTCTCCACTAGTAAACATCGCATACATGGCAGTGAGAATAGCATCAAAGTCTAGAGCCCAGATATCAACTCCCTTCCTCTCCAGATCAGCCCAGCGGGGCAGCTCAGCGCCATCAGGGAACTGGGTGCGCCAAGCGTCGTCAAGGCGCGAGAAACAGCGCTGCGTGGGGTGTGGCCCCCCACACGGCTGACCAGTGCGGTCACCAGTGCGGATGACGTACGTGCAGCTAAAGCCACCCGCCCCCCGGCGCTGCGAATACCACTCACGGGCCTCCTGGAGCGACAGAGCGTGCTGCTGGCTCAGACCACCGCCAGCGCCTCCACGACCACCACCGCCGCTGCCACGACCACCGCCGCCCCCGCTGCCGCCCCCGCCCCTGCCACCGCCCCCGCCGCTGCCGGGGCGCGCGCGGGGACAGCGGGGCCGGCGGGGCCTCTAGGCGGGGCGTGCGCGGGGTCGACGGGGCCGGCGGGGCCTCTAGGCGGGGTGCGCACGGGGTCGACGGGGTCGCGGGGCCTCTAGGCGGGTCGCGAGCGGGGCCGACGGGGCCGGCGGGGCGTCTGGCGGGGCGCGAGCGGGGTCGGCGGGACTGGCGGGGCGTCTAGGCAGGGCGCGAGCGGGGTCGACGGGTCGGCGGGGCCGCTAGGCGGGGCACGAGCGGGATCGACGGGGCCGGCGGGGGGCTCTAGACGGGGTGCGCGCGGGGTCGACGGGGCCGGCGGGGCCTCTAGGCGGGGCGCGCGCGGAATCGACGGGGCCAGCGGGGCCTCTACGCGGGGCGCGTGCGCTGTCGACGGGGCCAGCAGGGCCTTAAGCGGGGCGCGCGCGCGATCGACGGGGCCAGCGGGGCCGAAAAAAAAAGAAGCGCGCGAGAGCGCTGGGGGGAGGCGCTAAGGCACACTCCGACAGTAGGGCGCACGAGGGCGCTAGTAGAGAGTAAGTAGTGGTGGGCCCGAAGGAGAATTAGGTCCTAGCGAAGGACCTGCTCTGAAACCATGTCAGAATAACTGAGCAGGAATGAATGAACTAGCAGTGAGTTTGGTACAAATATGAAACCCTAGAATTGTGACCCCCCTACAGGCTAACCCACTATAGCCTACACAAATATAACATATATAATGTTTGACACACTACCCCCAGACGCCCCACGCTGAGCAAACCACTCACGAAGCTGCTGGGGCGTAAGGGTCTTAATCGAACGCTGCTGCTGCTGCCTCTGGCCACCGCCAGAACCTCCCCTCTGAACGGCTCCACCCCGGCCGCCACCACCGCCGCCACCACTCCCACTGCCGCCACCATCGCTGCCACCACTCCCACCGCTACCACCACCGCCGCCACCGACGCTTCCACTCCCACCACCACTCCCACTGCCACCACTGCCACCATCGCCACCTCCATTGCCTCCACCGCCTCCACAACTGCCTCCACCGCTTCCACCCCCACCACTCTTGCCTCCCTTGCCCTTGCCGCTGCGGCGTCTCGCACTAGGAGCAGACGCAGCCCCGACCTCCTCAGCACGAAGGAAGTCAACAGAGGGGGCAAGGGGGGAGGGGGAACACCCCTCAAAGAAGGGAGTGCGAGGAGTGCCACGAGAATCACCTACGACGACTATGCTAGTCTCAGCTGCAACGAAGTGCTTCTTGAGCAGGTCGACAGTGAGGTATGTGGGGTCAAGGGCGAGAAGGAGGTCTCTGACTGCTTGAGGGGGGGGGGGGGGTTCTTTTCTAGAAACTAGATAGAGCAGTATGAGTCGGCCTAGAGCAGCAGTGGCAGGGGAGGAGTAACGAGCAACTACACCGTCGAACAATGCTTTAGCAGTCTTGTGCTCGCCAAAGTGCGCTCATTCGGCTAACGGCAGGTGGTTGCGAATGGCGATGCGAGCAGTAGCGTCACGGGTAAGCCACTGTGAGCGAGTCGCACTGTCAGCTGTCTCGGGAGGAGCGAGAGAGGTCCCATACGTGTGGTCAAACAGCTGTAAGTCGTCTAGCCAGGTCTCAAACTGGATCGGACAGCACTCAGAATCGAAGGTAAGAACACTAAGAGAAGCCATAGCAGGCACAGCAGGGTGGCGCGCGACCAGCATGGCACGTTTCAAGGCAGAGCGGCGCGCAGGCAGCAGGACGACGCACCGGGCAGGGCCACGCGCGGGCACTAGGGAAGTGCGCAGGGCAGGGCGGGGCGGCGCATGGCCAGGGAAGGGGGGCCCGCGGCCAGGGCAGGGTGGCGCGTAGGCAGGGCGGCGCGCGGGCACTGGGGCGACGCGTCAGGCCGGGCAGGGGCGTCGCGCGAACCCTAGGGTGACGCGATGGGCAGGGGAGGGCGGCGCGCGCCCAGCAGGGCGGCGTGACGAGCAGGGCAAGGCGACGCGACGGGCAGGGCAGGGCAGCGCGGCAGCCAGCAAGGCGGCGCGTAGGCAAGGCAGGGCGGCGCGGCAGCCAGCAAGGCGGCGCGCGGCAGGGTAGTGAAAGAATCCGCCTCTGTTTAGCTAGCGCCCCCGTTGTAGGATGCTCCCCGTTGAAAATCGGCACCGCGCTCAAGTCGACAACGTGCGGCGTTGTCGAGAAGTCCGCCGGGAGGGAAGGGGTCGTTGGCGCATTCGTCGTCGACGAATTATCGGAGGAACCCATGGCGTAGCAACGATTGAGCGAGCACTCCTAACCTAGCTCTCATACCATGAAAGAATCCGCCTCTGTTTAGCTAGCGCCACAGAATTAACTTGGCGAGTTAGAGGCAGAGCCTAGGATCGATACGACGGGCTCGGAGCAACGAAGCAGTAGCACTTTGAATCACTGAAAACGCCCGAGAATTGAGAGAGAACTTGCTTATAATATGGAGATGGGTACACAAGTCTTGGAAGGCATGAACTCTCTGTTTCCTCTCTGGAATTTATATCTAAAACATGCAATCTCAATTGTAACATCGAACCGCGCGCGACTCGCGGAAATTTGGACTTGGGACGTCGAATTTCCGCGACCTCCGCGCTCACATGTTCGGACCTTGCCGAGTTCATTTCAACACACCAAATGCGTGTGTTACACGAAGTGGTAGCGAGTGTAGCGAATGGTTCAAAACCTTCGCTAGAACTCTCGCTATTTTCGTGAGAGCTTGTGGGGCTGCCAAGTGTAGCCCCCACAAAGTTTCGGACCCAACCGGGTGAACTTTGGTTGCGTGGCGACGCGGACAATCCGCCGTCACCCCAACCTTCCGTGAAAACACCCCCCCTTGGTCCGAGTCAAGGGGGGTCTTAGCGTGGGGGGCAATCCCGTCCCCCACACTTCCAACACTCCCCCTTGCACCCCACGCACACCTAAGCATGCAAGCCTACCCTAGCACAACATGCATGAAGAGCATCTCTAGGCAATGGCTTGGTAAGGAAGTCCGCGGGTTGGGAGTTGGTCTTGATGTAACGAAGCTCGACTTCGTTGTCTTCAACGAGCTTGCGAATGAAGTGGTGGCGGATTTGAATATGCTTGGTCCTTCCGTGAAGGACCGAATTCTTGGCTAGGCCAATAGCGGCTTGGTTGTCCACGTAGATGGGAGTGGGGCCTTCTTGTTTGTGCCCAAGCTCGGCAAGAAGACGCCTTAGCCAAACCGCTTCCGTACCACCACGAGTGAGCGCCACGTATTCCGCTTCGGTGGAGCTAAGTGCAATCAAGTTTTGGCGCTTGCTTTGCCAACTTATTGCACCTCCCACGAGGGTGAAGATATAGCCCGAGGTGCTTTGGCGGGTTGAAGGATCTCCCGCCCAATCCGCATCCGTGTAGCCTTGAAGCACCACGGGTCCCTTCTCGTAGTGCAACCCCATACGAGTGGTCCCCTTGATGTAGCGAAGGAGGCGTCGTGACGCTCGCACATGCTCGACCATGGGGTTGGAGACGACACGCCCAAGCACTCCAACGGGAAAGGAGAGGTCGGGAAGCGTGCTCACCGCGGCATACATGCACGACCCAACGACCGAGTGGAAGGTCTTGGCGCTCTCGGGATCCAACGGGTTCTCATCACTCACGGCCAAGGGATGAAACCCCGCTTCCATGGGTGTCGGTGTAGGCTTGCTCTCGATCATGCCGAAGCGATCCACCACACTCTCCAAGTACTTGTGTTGGTGGAGGGCGAGGGTCTTGTTCCCTCGATCACGATCGATGTGCATTCCTAGGTAGTGGGAGACGGCGCCGAGGTCACGCATGGAGAATTCGGCGGCAAGCTTCTCCTTCACGTCCGCTACAAGTGTCTTGGAATCCGACACGAGGAGGAGGTCGTCGACGTAGAGGAGAAGAACGAGCTTCTTCTCGTCCTTGTTGAGCACGTAGAGCGCGTGGTCACACTCGCTCCGCACGAACCCCAATGAGAGCAAGTGATCGTCGATCCTCGTGTACCACGCACGAGGGCTTTGCTTGAGGCCGTAGATAGTGCGCTTGAGCTTGCACACGCGGTTGGAATCGTCGTCGAACCCGGGAGGTTGCTTCATGTACACCTCCTCCTTGAGACGACCGTAGAGAAACGCCGTCTTCACGTCGAGTTGTTCCACCTCCAAGTCGAGTGCTCCCGCCAACGCCAAGAGGGTGCGCAACGTAGCGGACTTAGCGACGGGAGCGAACGTCTCGTTGTAGTGAAGACCCTCTTTTTGAGTGTAGCCTTGCGCCACCAACCGCGCCTTGTACCGCTCCACTTCTCCGTTGGGGCCGAGCTTCTTCTTGAAGACCCAACGAGAGCCAACGAGGTAGGCGCCGGGAGGCATGGGGACAAGCTCGTAGACGTCGTTCGCCATGAGTGAATCGTACTCCTCTTGAAGCGCGCGCTCCCATTCCGCCGCTTCCGCCGAGCTCATGGCGCCGTGGTAGGTGGACGGGGTGTCGGTGTACGCCTCAAGACACATAGCGTCTCCCCCTCCCTCATCGTCCCCCGCCACGAGTGAGTAGTCATCGAACTTGGAGTTGGGATGAGGGTTCCTTCGAGTGCGAGTGGATGCGAGGGTGGGAGTGATACGAGGAGGAGGAGATGAAGGGTCACGTTCCTTGGCATTTCCTTCATCCTCACTCACTCCAACCGCACCCGCCCCATTCTCCCCCTCACTCGCACTAGGAGGAGGAGCCGTAGGAGCGCCATCCGCCTCATCCGCGGCATCCAAGGGTGGAGGGACGATGATGACCGAGGGCACGTTCGTAGACTTGGAGGGGAAGGTGTCTTCGTAGAACACCACGTCGCGCGACACCACGAGTTTCCCGTGCTCCAAGTCCCACACGCGCCACCCCTTGTGATCCGCGCTTGGACCCAAGTACATCGCCACCCGCGCCTTCGCCTCAAGCTTGGTCCGTGTAGCATCCGGGACATGGTAGTAGCACGTACACCCAAACGTGCGAAGGTCGGTGACGTCCGGCTTCGTACCGCTCCAAGCCTCAAGAGGCGTCTTGTTGGGCAACGCCTTGGTCACGCACCGGTTGCGAATCCAAGTTGCCAACGTAACCGCCTCTCCCCACCAATGCTTCTCCGCGTGAGCATGGGAGAGGAGACTTCGTGCCGACTCCATAAGCGTGCGATTCAAGCGTTCGGCGGCTCCATTTTGTTGAGGCGTGTACGGCGTCGAGAACTCATGCGCGGTCCCACGCCCTTTCAACCAATCGCCGAGCTCCCGAGCGGTGTATTCGCCACCTCCATCCGAGCGAAAGCGCTTCACCTTGAAGCCGCTTTCCGTCTCCACATCCGCGACCCATTGCTTGATGGCGGTTGACGTGGCGTCCTTGGTCTTGAGAAGCCGAATCCAACACATCCGCGTCGCGTCGTCGAGGAGCGTGAGAACGTAGCGCGCGCCGCCCTTTGACGCGGGAGTGATCGGTCCACACAAGTCCGTGTGAACGAGCTTGAGAGGTTCCACGCCCTTTCAACCAATCGCCGAGCTCCCGAGCGGTGTATTCGCCACCTCCATCCGAGCGAAAGCGCTTCACCTTGAAGCCGCTTTCCGTCTCCACATCCGCGACCCATTGCTTGATGGCGGTTGACGTGGCGTCCTTTGTCTTGAGAAGCCGAATCCAACACATCCGCGTCGCGTCGTCGAGGAGCGTGAGAACGTAGCGCGCGCCGCCCTTTGACGCGGGAGTGATCGGTCCACACAAGTCCGTGTGAACGAGCTTGAGAGGTTCGGTGGCGTTCGGCTTCGTGCTTGGTGGAAATGGCTTCCGTGCCATTTTCCCTTCGAGACAACCGACACACTTCGCATCATCTCCACTCGAGCGCACAAACTCCAAGCCGTTGACAATCCCCTTCGTTGCCATAGCTTGAATAGCTTCGTAGTGGAGGTGGCCAAATCGATTATGCCATGTTTTGAGAGTGGTTGTCGAGGTAGCCGCTTGAGCCGTCGCCACACTTGGGAGGGCATCGAGCATGAAGAGTCCTCCCGTTTGGCGTGCCGTGCCGATGTGTACGCCATCCGCCGCACTCAACGCCATCATGGTCCCTTCGATGTTCACACGCATCCCCTTGCGTGTGAGTTGAGAAACGGAGAGGAGGTTGGCGCCGAGCCCGGGAACCACCAAGACGTTCTTGATGGTGAGTGGACCGCCGTCCACCATGAGCCGCAAGTCGCCTTGTCCCGTGACGTCCAACGTGTCACGGTTGCCGAACATCACGCGCTTAACGGGAGCCTCCGTTGTCACGTTGTTGAGAAGCGTCGCACACGCCGTCATGTGTTGAGTAGCACCCGTATCGAGTATCCACGCGTCAACACCACCGACGCTCGTTCCACTTGCGACGAATACGAACTCCCGGTCGTTGTTGTCGCATGTCGCCACATGCGCACGCCGGTTGTCGTCGCTTGACGGCTTCCAATTTGCCGGCTTGACGGGACATTCGCGCCACCAATGTCCGGTCTTCTTGCAAAAACGACAAGCGCCGTCGCGCGTCCGAGCTCGATTGGCGTTGGCCGGTCCTCCTCGTGATGAGCTTGAGGCCGCCGCGCTCCCGCTCGAGCTCCCGCGGTTGTTGCCGTCGTTGCGCCGCTTGAAGTGACTCGTCCCTTTCGCCTTCGCATCGCGAGAGAAGTGTGCCGCGCCAATTGCATCGCCATGCAATTTCGTGCGCCTCGCCTCTTCGTTGATGAGGCGTGCCACCACTTGCTCCTTCTTCCACGTGTCTTGCGTCCCATCCAACATCGTGATCACGGTTGACCACGCTTCACCGAGGCCCGCGAGGAGCGTCATGATCCAATCGTTGTCCTCCACGCTCGCGTCGAGTTCCACCAAGCGCTCGCCAAGCTCCTCCTAGCGGTTGACGTACGCGCGCATTGACTCGCCGTCCCTCATCCGCACCGTGAAGAAGTCGAGGCGCGCTTGAAGCTTGCTATGAAGCGACTTGGAGACGTGCTCTCCTTCGAGTCGCTTCCACGCTTCACGAGTCGCGCCGTCACGGTCGATGCACGGACTCACGATCGGGACGAGTTGGAGGCTTAGCTTGGAGACAAGAAAGGCAAACGCCTTTTTGTCCTTACGCACCCACGCTTCCTTCTCCGCGGTTGAAGCGTCTGACGTGGCTTCGATGCCGACCCATCGAAGAAGCCCCACAAGTCGCGCTCCATCATATACACCTTGATCTTGAAACGCCACGAGGAGAAATGCTCCCCGTTGAAAATCGGCACCGCGCTCAAGTCGACAACGTGCGGCGTTGTCGAGAAGTCCGCCGGGAGGGAAGGGGTCGTTGGCGCATTCGTCGTCGACGAATTATCGGAGGAACCCATGGCGTAGCAACGATTGAGCGAGCACTCCTAATCTAGCTCTCATACCATGAAAGAATCCGCCTCTGTTTAGCTAGCGCCACAGAATTAACTTGGCGAGCTAGAGGCAGAGCCTAGGATCGATACGACGGGCTCGGAGCAACGAAGCAGTAGCACTTTGAATCACTGAAAAAACCCGAGAATTGAGAGAGAACTTGCTTATAATATGGAGATGGGTACACAAGTCTTGGAAGGCATGAACTCTCTGTTTCCTCTCTGGAATTTATATCTAAAACATGCAATCTCAATTGTAACATCGAACCGCGCGCGACTCGCGGAAATTTGGACTTGGGACGTCGAATTTCCGCGACCTCCGCGCTCACATGTTCGGACCTTGCCGAGTTCATTTCAACACACCAAATGCGTGTGTTACACGAAGTGGTAGCGAGTGTAGCGAATGGTTCAAAACCTTCGCTAGAACTCTCGCTATTTTCGTGAGAGCTTGTGGGGCTGCCAAGTGTAGCCCCCACAAAGTTTCGGACCCAACCGGGTGAACTTTGGTTGCGTGGCGACGCGGACAATCCGCCGTCACCCCAACCTTCCGTGAAAACACCCCCCCTTGGTCCGAGTCAAGGGGGGTCTTAGCGTGGGGGGCAATCCCGTCCCCCACACTTCCAACAGGTAGGGCATCGCGACTCGTGGGGTAGCTTGACGGGCAGGGTGGGGCGCTACGAACAGGGTAACGCGCTACGGGCAGGGAACTATTTGGTGGGCCCTAAAAAAACGGTCCTGGAACAGGACCTCCTTTGAAACAATGTCAAAATCTGAACGACAAATGAATGTATTGATGACGAGACTGCGTACAAGTAATTACCCTAATTGGGTTGTACCCAGGGCCTCAGATTCACTTTTAGGGTCGTCGACCCATCAGGGTACCCCTGTGTAGAAACCCTGATTGATAGTGTTCCTAAAAAAAAAGCCTGAAATATCAGTGTTGCCTTCGAAAAAAGGCTGATGCATCAGTGTTTAATGTAAAGAAAAGGCTGTTATTATTAGAGATCTCTATCTTAAATATGAAGTCCGTAGCAGCCTTCCGATACATTGCTAAGCTAACATGCATAATGAATCATCACCAGCCTTTGGTTCTTCTCTGCTTGGGACACCCGTACGTGACATTGCTCTACCGCAGCACACACCCCGGCGTCACTTCTGCTTGCGGCACATACACGTTGAAGCTGCAACGGCAGGTTTGGGGGAGCAACCGGATTGACGGGCAGGGTGAGGCAGGGAAAGAGAGAACAGGAGGGAGAGAGGAGGGAAGACTGGCACGGTTTGGGGGGAGACGACCGGAGGAGAGAGGGAGTCGGGGTAAAGGGAGCGGGGGAATGAACGGCGGGCGCGCGGGTCATGCGCGGGTCATGCCGTTGCGCAGCACGACGCTCTGCGTGCCACTTGCGGTGCAGATGGCCTTTCGTGCTGGCGACGAGGCAGCCTTCGGTGGTCGCCATTAGCACGAAATACTACGTGTCGTCGAGTCGTAGCGGGCTTGCGACGCCGACGGGAATTGCCACGTGGCCGACGACCATCTCGCAGCATGCGCTGCATATCGCGTCGAACGGGAGCAATGTGTTCGGCAAGACAAGAGGAGGGGCGCTCGCGATGGGTTCGATTCCCGACAGCCTGACATTTCTGGTGCTGATGGCGCCATGTAATAGTGCAGACGAGAAAGCACGAGAAGAATCGGGCTGAGAGGGAGGGAGAGAGAAACAGGAGAGATTGGGTTTGGAGGGCACGGGACCATCAGTGCTTGCCAGCACAGCCAGCGGTGCAGGAACCCTCGAGCCCTCAAGCACCACACAGTTGCCACATGCTGCATCGAAATTGCCCAATGGAGTGCTGGCACCGCAGGAATCTGAGATTCCCTATCATTCCGGGCAAATCCACACGGAACAAGTAAGAATAGCTTTCGGTGTTAGTTTCATTACAACGCTGTGGTATCAATGTATTTGGGAAAAAAAAAAGTCTGAAATTTTAGTGTGGCCTAACAAAAAATGCTGAAAGATCAGCCCCACAAAAATCTCAACACTGATTTTTCAGTGTAGGTAAAAAAGAGACTACCAAAATCAGGAATTTCAGGGTTTTTTCCTGATATCTGAGGCCCTTGTTGTACCCAGGGCTCTGGCTAGGATTTAGCCCCGTCTGAAACCTAAGTCTCCAAAAAAATTTCGTCTGAGCAGAATATGAGCAACTCTTGGCGGTCTGTAAACCCAGACGAGAAAAAACTCCCAGTCTGGGAATTCAGACGAACACACCAGAGCACTGTCTGTTCTGTACTGTATGTATACCATGCGGTTTACTCTTATTTATAATAATATACCACTTCTTGTGCCACACAACAAACTATGAGAATCATTACTGAGGGAGGAAGGAGGAGGGAAGAAATTCCTAAGCTGAGTCACTAGAATCACTACTGCTGCTGCTGCTGCTGCTGCTTTCTACAGTGTCCTCTTCATCGAAGGGGTCGTCCAACAAGGGAGGAGTGGCCTTGGTCTTCTTGCCCCTGCTCTGCCATCCACCTTCCTCAACTTCAACCCTGGCGCTCTCCTTTGCTGCTGCTGCCACAGCTGCTGCCGCCTCCGCTGCTGCTGCTGATGCTGCTGACGCTTTCTCCATGGCCTTTTCCTTCTTGGAGCGCTTAACCGGCCTTGAGTCTGCATCCATCACCACCTCCTTGGCCGGTCTGCGTTTCTTGCTGCAGCGCCAGAGCCTAATCAACTTGGGAAAGTCCAGGTCGTACTTCAGCAGGGACACCGTCACCAGCCCTGACAGCTTCGTGTCGCAGAGGTTGCCATGAAGCCAGCTCTTTATGATATTCTGCCACGAGAATCCGCGCTCGCACTCGACCGTCGACAGAGGAAGAACGGCCACAACGATCCAGAAGTTCACAAGGTTCGGATATGCGTGCGTCCAGTCGGGTGTGGAGAGCAACTGCTTTAGTCCCTCTTGAAACTCAATGTCGTTGTGGTGCGTGGAGAGGATGGTGGTGAAGTTCTTCAGCTCACGCTGCGCTTTCGCCCAGTTGACTCATGAGGAGGGGAAGAGAAGGGGTTATGGCAGGGCTTAAAATCCAGAGAAGCTTCACACGAACACGCAACGGAGAAAGTGTCTATGAACATATATGATACATGACAACAATCATCGATTTTCCTGACTATTACAATCCCCTCACCTTGCAAAGTGTCTAGCATGCTTGGCTTTCGTTTGGCCTACGATCTTGTCTTCATGTAGAATGTACTTGTGGGTGACGGGCGTCCCTTTCGCATCAGTTCCATCCACCGAAACCTCCCGCTTTTCCACATCCGCATGCGCCTTCAGAAACTTGTGAAGTGTCACGCTGCCATGCCCGAAGTTGTCATAGTCGCACAGTTAGCGACTCCTGAGTGCCATCTTCGTGTTCTCGGTCACCTGCTGCACGTGTGTGACATCGACTTGTCAAGGAAACAAAGAAGGCTGGTTAACGTACGCACAGCCGGCTGTAATAACAAAGAAGCGAACACCAACACTAGAAACTTACATTTCGCTTTTGAAATCTGAGGTTCAACATGTTGAGCTCCTTCAGGACATCATTCAAGAGAAACTGCAGGAATTGAAACTTGAATGATATGACGGTCTTGTACGCCTTGGTATCGTACTCATACAAGAACATGATCGCGGCGGGCATGGACTCCACAGGCCGGGAAATCGCCACACCACGCGATAGCCAGCGCACGCTGTGGATTCCTTGCAGTTCGAGATTCGTCTTGCAAAGAACCTCCTGCAGCTCCTTGAATCGGCCGTGTTGGTTGCTCGAACGCCCCGGGTCTTCCGCAGGCGAGCGGACGACCTTGTCAACGAGTTGCATTTGGGGGACTGCAGTGGCTGCATCCTTTGCGGAGAGGGCTTCCCTGCACTTCACAGAATCACACGTATTAGTAAGGACGTTCGGGCAGGTTTAAATAACACAACAGAAAGTAATGTTGCCTGTGTGCGATGCAATGGCAAGAGACGAGGTGTGGAATCTTGGTTCGCAGGCGAGCGACGAGACCGTTCTTGTCGCCAGTCATCACGCTAGCACCGTCTGTGCTGATGCCGGATGTGCGATACAGATCCACCCCAGAGGATTCCAGGCGGGTGAGTAGAATCACAATGAGCGACCCGGCGTCGCCTTTGTCCACCGTCATATGCGCGAAGAATTCTGTGGTGGCCGCGCCATCCCGCATGAACGTGAGGTAAACGATCATGTGCTTACCCTGTCGCCTGTCGGTACTTTCATCCAGTTGAATGCCGAGGAAGGGTGAGGTGCGGATGTGCTCCATCTGCTTCGCCCTTAGGTAAGTGACAAGAGTCTCAACCATCTGGGCAAAGCCGTACCTGTGCAAAACACACGTAAAAACATGGGTTATTAGTCCCGCCAAAGCACAAGGAGTGCAGCAAGACACATGGCGGGGTGGA